GTTATTTGTGAATCTTTATTAATAAACTACTGAAAATCCAAGAGTAAGAAAATTGAACCTGATGTTATAAATGTGTCTTAGAGTGTGTTTTTAGTCATTGTATTTATCTTTTATTTTAATCCTAAACACTATTATCAGTCATAAAATTATCAGTGTCCTGTATATTTATGATTTGTTGTCATACTACAGTAGGATATTTGAAAGTAGTCAATTGGGTGTATGATTTTAGTAGGGGACAGGTATGCATACAGTATAGTTATACAGAACAATTTACAATTTAATAATGAATCATACAACAATGTCAAACTATACAGTCAACCGGTACGTCAAACGTCAAACATATACACAAATAACAGTACAATTTGAGGAGTTTTAGAAAAAGTGTCTTTTGTGTTATCAATACATTTATAGGGAGAGGGAGTGAATCACTCATTTAGGGTGTGTTCACAGTAACAGTGTTTGTGAGCAGCACTTCCTTTGAGTGAATGAACACATAGTTTGTGAACGAATAGTGAATGAGTGACTGAATGACTGAATGAGTGTCTGATTGTGTTTTGGACTCAACACTGATTACAAGCATTCAATCATTTGCTCATTGATTGTGACATTCATTTGAATCACTTCTTGTAATCCTGTATTCACTGCACTCGAGGACATGGTATGTATCTGTCATTCATGACATGAACTCTTACACTAAACTGTGGTTAATGTGACCCAAGAGTGAACAGCAATTGGATCACGCGTTGGATCTGATGAGACGACTGCCTCCGCAGCAGATCGAGAAGAATTTGAGTGATTTAATAGATTTAGTGAGTCTGTCGCCACCGATGTCTGTGTGGATGTGTTGATATATGATTGCTATGTGCTCCGCAGGTGCCCAATCTATGCGAAGACCTGTTGTCATCAGTGGATCAGCCGTTGAAGATAGCGCGGGATAAGGAGAATGGCAGGGATTATCTGCTCTGTGACTACAATCGCGACGGAGACTCATATCGGTATGAATTGGACGCCAGAGATGTCTTGTCTCAAGTGCTCCTCTCGTCCCACCCATAGGTCTCCGTGGAGTAACAAATACGACCCGCCCTTAGAAGACGGTGCCATGCCTTCCGATAAGTTAAGACATCTCGAAGTGGACGCCAATCAGGCCTTCGATCAGTACCGGGAGATGTACTTCGAGGGCGGCGTGTCTTCAGTGTATTTATGGGATTTGGATCACGGATTCGCTG